TGGCGTACAAAAAGAGGGCGAGGATGAGAGGAGATGTAAAAGGCAAGAGAGAAGGATGGGTGCAAGCAGGAGCTGGAGGAGAGGTGGAGGACAGAATTGAGGGAAAGGATATGAAAAGCAGGACGCTGGTTTGTTAAAGTATATACCGATCGAGACGTATGGTATTGCGGGGCAACAAAGAGGAGTTAGATAAAAAAGTAATTTTGTGTTGTCCCTTTCTCTCCCTCCCCCTCTCTCCCTATTTCTCTCCTTTTTTTGCCCCTTTCAATGTATATATACAAATGCATCTGTGTGCCTGAAAGATCGATGCAATTATGGCGGACACGGGGTGGTACGGGCAGTCAGAGGGGCCGTGTTGTGCGTGCACCCATTGTTCAGGGTAGCTGTCGTTGAGTGTCCGCCAACGCTTTTCTCAACATCAAAAATCCACTAAATAACCAAAAAGTTTTTTTTACCTCCCCACCTCATTTCTGTGTGTCTGTTTTACTATCATCACGGCCAATATCACTACCACCATCATCATCGTCATCGTCATCATCATCGTCATCAGCAGCAGCATCAGCAGCAGCAACAGCAGCAACAACATCATCCATCGTCATCACCACCAATTAAAATCATCATCACCATAGAAATATCATTTAGTTGAACCCATTGGTAAAAGAGACTGAAAATAGAGTGGAAAAAAATAAGGAAGAAGTTTTTAGTTTTGTTTCTTTTTTCTTTCTTCTGTCTTGCGATAATAAAATTAAGTGGAAGGAACGATTAAAGGAAAAAGAAAATTCAACTTAATTTAGGATCTACTTTCTTTTGGTTTTTTTTTGTTTTTATTCCTACTGTTTTATGGGAATATTGTTTTTGTACTTTTTTTTTTCTGGTAAGAACAAAAAGACTGAAACAGGAAAGGCTGACTAATTTTGTTTCATACTTCTTCTGCCTTTGCTGAATTGGCTTTTTTTGTCACCTGTATCCTCAACTTAATCTTGTTGCCGTTGCTGTTGTTATCGTTGTTGCCACCGTTCACCTCGTTATTGGCTTTCTTCACCTATGAAATTACTGTATGGCTAGAAGACGTAACATATTTCCAAAAGGTTGGTTTTCTCCTGATCGAAAAGCAAAACCGATGCAAAAGAAGAGAGTGGGGAAATAAAAAAAACGAGAAGAAAATTAGTTGACAAGAAATGTTGCAAAAAAAAAAAAAAGAAACAGCGAAATGTTCTTACCATTGATTTTTTTTTTTTTTTTT